ATAGATGAAATAAATATATTGAGTTATTTTTTAAATTATTTATAAATAAAAAAGGTATAATCTTATTATTTAATGTTAGAATTATGGCAATAAACTATGTTTATACATAATAATCTTTATTAACAATCACTCTCTTGATTAAATTTGTACATAAAATTAATTTATTCATTTTTGCTATTTCATTTGAATACGATATTTTACGTAAAAACATTTATGATATGCCAATAAGCGATTTCATATCTAATCATTATGTTACTTGCTAATTACATAAATAAGTTCATAATTTGTACAGCAAAATCTATTTAATTTAATGTATTAATAAAATAAAATTTTTAATATATTTTTATTAACTAAACCAATAGCATGTATAATTTAATAAATTACACCTAGTAATAATATAATTACTGGTACTTATGATACTTTAGAAATTTTATATATAACAATCCAATTATGCATATGATCTATAAATTAAAAATAAAGTAAATATAATACGATATAAATATCATAAATACAATTAATATAAACAGGAACATACTTTGTATCCCTGGTATCTATTTATACGGAAAAGTTTCCAACAATAAAATCCATCCCTTTTCTGACCCAACCTTTCCATCAGTGATACTAACTATGGTGTAAAAATATTTTAAACATAATTAAACATAAAATACGTATTATATATAGGGTGACCAGATATTTTTTCAATATTTTGTTTAAAACTGGACAATTTGATCAAATGAGACAATATTAGAATTAATCCAAGTTTTAAAACTGGACAATACTATCCATTACATTGTAATAGATCAATTACAAAACTGGACACTATGTGCAAAAACTGGACAATCCAGTGCAAAAATGGACATCTGGTCACACTAATTATATATGTGTTGGGAAAATAAATCCAGACACACTATGGATTACCGAACATTTTGTATTTTTTGTAAGATTTCTACATAGACTTGTATACAATAACTCTTGCAAAATAGTACCATGTCGGTATTCCATAAGTTTACCTTTGATATAAAATAGAAATATTAAAATTTTTACTTTTATTTTAAAATTATTTCGTTGATTCATTGCTTCAATGTTATACGAGTTTAATAAATGATATGATTTTATGAATTGTTTATTTAGTTGCGATGAATAGTGTATAATAAACAGCAAGGTTAATAAAAACTCGACAGCCCCAATAAGCACCGGGATGCGAATGTAATACACCTTTGAATTTGCTAGAAATGATAAGCTACTTATGCTGAAACTTATTAATATCCAATAAATAGCTAGAAACTTTGACCAATAAATATTATTGTATTCATTAATCTCTAAAAATAGCTTGTCATAACAATTTATTATTTGAACTAGTTCGGTTTTAGATTTAATGTTAATTAGCATATTATTTATGGAAGTTACTTTTAATGTTAAATACTTTGCAATAATTGTGTAATAAATTAATTGCCATGTAATAATTGCGTTACCATTGCTAGTTAATAGTGTCCATACAAAACAATGGGGTATTGCTATAAATATAATCTCATAAATATTTAAGTGTATCGATAATGATATGAATACGACAACAAATACAATATAATTAATATATTTTAAACAAAATTCTGTAATTTTAATACATTTTCGTGAAAATATGAGTAATTTATGGACAATATGTTTGTCGTGAACACCGATACTAATGGGTGTTATTAAACCCGATAGCATCCAAAATACACATAAATCCCGCGGTTTTATACCACGACTATAGTTATAGTAATTGAGTAGTTGTGAGAAAATAATTATTAAATACGTGTTCACAAACATTAATTCAGTGGCAACTCTGAAACCAAAAAAGTAATAAAAATCGCCAACTATTGCATAGAAATGTGGATCTCTTTCACGTATTAAAAATACCGTCAATTGTCGCAAATAAGTGATGAAAATAAATACGAATACAAAATATGGGTTACGAATGACTGGTCTGTTTGCGGCATTCAATGGCTTATAAAGTGAGAGACCTATACTGTAGAGATGTGTACCGGCCCTCCCGATCGCCAATGACCCTGGTACTACTTTATTACATTTTAACTTATTGTTAGGCTTCACCTTCATACTTGTAATAAATTATTTATGAAATAGTAAATATTATTAAAGTTATATTTGTCGCAGTATTAATTCAAATTAATTGTATTACTTATTTGCTATGCTGATATTATTTTCACTGACTTATAATAGACTCAAATTTGTTCAATAATATTTCTATTTATAAATTTAATGTGTTAGTGTTAAATGTCTAATAACAGTGCATATATTAAAGTAGCTTATATTAATAGTGTACTGGATAATTTAATATAATAATGGCAGTTATACTGTAGAAAACTGTACATATTATTATTGTATGAATATAATAATATACAGTATGTTAATTAATTTGACAGAATAAAATATAAAATATAAAACTATTTTTTATGAATAAGTCACGAGAAAGATATTCAACGAACAATACATCAAATTAATGATCTAATATAATTATTAATTGCTTTTAATTGGATAACCAGTGGAAAATAAATAATAAAAATGCCCACTGTGCATTATATGCATTAAAACCATAATTACAGTTTGATCAAATATCACATTATACTTAATTATAAAGGTCTATATATTAATACTTTAAATTAAAAACATATTTATTATGCTTACATTCATATTAATAAACAATTAATGAGTACTATAGCTAAGGGTAAGTTCTTAAAAATTATAATTTTTATTAGTTATTATTTTTTGTTATAAATAATTTATTATTCTGTATTTATTATCAAAATAATTTTTAGTTATAATAAGCATTAATATATTGTCGGTTATATTTAAAAATATAAAAAGTGAAATTTTTATTTTGAATATTCAGTATATTGAAATTACTAAACTACATAAGCTTACGCACCACAAACGTACATATTTATAATTCACTTCTATCTACCTGTCCATCAGCACCCATATCCACATCATTATCCAACCAATTAATCCAACTATTATTATGCAGTCGAGGGTCACCCTTAGGGTCCAGGGGTACGAGGGATAGGGGCGGGACAGCCGTCCTATTAAACTCCACTAATTTACTCCACAAAAAGTCCACAAACTCGGGCTCCGTCTCAGCCAATAGGTCGCGCCGTTCGCACGGGTCGTCCCTTACGTTAAACAAACACAGACTCCTATCACACGTAGCGACCTCTCCCGGTAGAGGTGGCTCCGGGCACTCAACTACCGACCCCTGGAGTACGTTATAGTCAGCGCGCCTTCCCATTAGTGATAATACTTTACTGGCTTTACAGCTTAGCCTATCGGACATCTGTAGGGCCCAGTAGGTCTGGGTGTCTATGCTTATGCCTCCTTGGTAAGCAAAGTGCGTACGACTGTCCCCGTCCACCCTGTACGGGGGTATTGGTGATTGTACCAATTTCCAATCGTACCACCGTATGGCCGACATGTTCCACACCGGGTCCACGTTGTGTATGATTTCCCAACGCACCGGGCGTTTTTGGTTTGATAGGGTACTCCATTGGGAAACTCCTGTAAAATAAATTATTATAACTAACCTTAGTTTATGATTTTAAATTTAAATAAAATAAAATAAAATAATTAACGATTTTAAATTATAGGTTTAGTTTTTTTGAGCTAGATAAATTATTTATGTATTAATTTATATAATATTTTTAATATTACAGTCTCTCTCTCTCTCTCTCCAAATATAACTCATACCATAAATATTTGCCTCATCGTGAATACCGGTGCTGTTGATTGCGTCCAAAACGGTGGGCAACAGGTCTGTCACGTGAATCATGGCGTCCGATACGTAACCACTTTTGTTCAACAATGGGCTCCATATAAACGCCGGTACTCTAACACCCCCTTCAAACAAGTGCACCTTGCTACCCCTCAAGGGCCAATTTAATCCACCATTACCTTGTTAAATATAAATTAATCATTTAAATAATTTTATTATTAGCTATTTATTAAATTTAAAATTAGATTTATTTTATAATTCTGTAAATAAAAATGTTAATAATAATTATATTATCCAATGAAAACTTATTATATTTTACTTGAATATAAAGTACTGACAGTAAATTATTTTAAACAGTAAAAATATCTACTTGTTAAAATAAACTTGTTAAAAATAAACTTAATAAATATTATACGGTAATCACAATATGTTTGAATTGAAAGCGATGCTCAATTAAAAAGCAATATTATCAAAGTAATTGTAATTAATTTTTAATGTTGCTAGGTTTTACTTTATAATGAATAGTTTGCTTACCGAATAAATGAACTGGATCACCACCATTATCGGTAATAAATATAATTATACTATTTTCCAACATATTGTTAGCATTCAAACGCTCGACAATATCCCCAATCGACTCGTCCATTGCGTAAGCCATGGCCGCCAGTCGGCGCCTATAGTCGGACTCAATGTGACCAAACTTATCGATGTACTCCTGTGGCGCCTCCAGTGTCCGATTCAAAGCGGCCGAATGAAGGGACTGGTAGGGCATGTACAGGAATAGTGGTTTCGATTGATTATGATTATCTAGGTAATAAATAAGTATAAATAATATTAAAGTAGTTTTATATCATACTATTTTATATTTTACAAAACCTATAACATGGCGACATCTGTCGGTGAAATAATGGGTCGAATAAACTCCCGACGCGTTTGTTATCAAATCCATGTTATGCCGGAAGTCCAGTCCACACCTGTTCCTGAAGTCGCAATTCGTGTGATTAAAATAGGTCTCGTATGCCGACCAGAAACCCACGTGACTGTCAAAGCCCCGGTATGTTGGTGTGTGTTCTCGTTGCATGTGACCTAGGTGCCACTTTCCTATTAATAAATATAAGTAGATAGTTTAAATATGATTATAATGATAGTAATTAAATCAAGGAAGCTTTAGATTCTGGTGATAATTAATTGAATGACCAATTTGATAATTATATATGAATTTTATAATGGTGATTGTATTATTGTTTATATACTAAATGATTTAAATTTAAATATTAAAATGTTTTAAAACTATTATTGCTTGATTAAACTTACCAACAATATGTGTGGCGTAATCATATTGTTTGAGATACTGGGGCCAGAGTTTGAAGTGTAGGGGCAGACCAATGGGCTGTGTGTCAAGGATTACGCAGTTTTGTAGTCCGGTGTGTATCGGATGTACACCAGTCAGGAGCGCACCCCTACTCGGACTACAGAGGGGTTGTGTGTAATACTGGTTCAAAATGATGCCATCGGCCGCCAGTGTGTCGATGTTAGGGGTGAGCACGTGGTCCGAGTGGTAGCCCACGTCCGCCCAACCCATGTCGTCCGTCATGAATACGATTACGTTTGGTGGCGCCGATCGTTTTCCGCCCATACACGTTATAGTATATGATAATAAAATTAAGTTAAATAAATTAAATTTTATCATCATGGATTTAATAATTTTAATTAATAATTAAATTAATTAGCTTGTATATGGTAACAAATTGAGACTAATATTTTTTTTAAATAGATATATTTTTACATACTTGTATTGTGCTAGTCATTAATATTGTGTCAGCATTTTTAACAAATATGTATAATACAATTTATATAATACAATTTAAATAACTTTATAATGGGAATTTAAAGTCGAGAATTAAAATTATGGGCTACCCAAAATTGGGTACTTTTTTATGACTTTAATATAAATTTATATGCAATATATTTCTAGTGAAAATTATGCAGTAAGAATCAGGATACAATTTTATTTAATGTTCAATAAAGTAGAAGCTTTTTTCTACCCAAAATTGGGTACTTTTTTATGACTTTAATATAAATTTATATGCAATATATTTCTAGTGAAAATTATGCAGTAAGAATCAGGATACAATTTTATTTAATGTTCAATAAAGTAGAAGCTTTTTCTCTTGATTCGAGTAAGGTAAATTATGGAATTATTTTATTTTTGATTTAATTTATCATGACAATACTATTTATCAAAAAGTATGATTCATGTTAAATGAACTAAAAAATGAAAATATAAATAATTTAAAATAATGTCCTCTAGAAAATTCACAATATTTGTTTTATGGAATACTTTCTAAACTTTAATATTATTACAGTTTTAAGGATATTTTTAAAAGTTTGCTATTCATAATATGCTGGGGGTTTAACATCAAATTAGAAAACTTTTAAAAGTAATAATGTAAAATATTCAAAAAGGAACAATAATTTTATAAAAATTTTTTAAATCAAAATTTTTGATTTCACATAGCATAAATAGTTATGTAACAAAATATTATGTGAAAATTAATATTTAACGAGATACCAAGAGTTACAAAAAAAATTATAATATACAAAATATTTTATAATATTAATTTAGATATTTGTGCTTATTTTGAATGAAGTCCTCAATAATTTGGGGCAGTTTCGCGATACTATTATCCGATTGTATTCTTGACGATATTTTCAGTAGTTTTTCATTCAATTCATTATTATTTAATAGACTTTCAATTGCTGTCAACAACTCATCATCAGTGCACCGGTAGGTATCCAAACGTATACCAAACCCCTTGTCCTGAACTCTCTGTGCGTTATCATATTGATCGCCAAACAGTGGTAACACAACCATAGGTTTCCCGAAGTAAAAGGTTTCGGTGATAGTGTTGTTCCCTCCATGGGTTACCACCAAATCAACTAACGGTAGTACTTGTATTTGGGGAACAGTAGCCGCGCCCCACATATTGACCGGTAGGTCGTACTCCT